TAGCAAAAGGACGATTTTCTTTGCAAATATCTTATCAGTTCTTTGTGACTTTGTACTTTTAAATTTTTAAACCCGGAGGCAGCAGGAGGTATTGTTGAAGGTTTTGCCACTGGCACAACACCAGTTACAAAAGACTGTAGGCACCAAGATGTGAATGGCTAGGAAGGTGAAAAAAACAGGTGGTGATTCTGTTTTCTGGAGTGATTGTAAGAAAAACCGTGCTAAGCCTTTTTTTGACAAGGGCACACCAGTTTCTTGGCTTCGAACTATTGCCTTCCCAATGAGGCCCACAAATTCAAATTCCAATAATCCAAATTGTTTATTGTTTCAATTTTCCATGTCTCAAACTACCCTTTCTTTAAAATCTTTTTAAGATACAGAGTTTTTAGGAATGTTTTTATTGCCACATCGTGGCGTTAAAAATCACCAGGTGTGGGATGATTTCAGCGCAACATACCTTGACAATACATTGCAATGCCAGTGGTTTTGTTGTTGATTTTTTTCAAGTTTTCTAAGTAACTTAAAAACCTGCAAAACTGTTACTCGACCTTTGTCGGAATTGAGAGATTTGTCTCATGTAGCATATCTGTAACGCTGAAATGCTGCATCACCATGGTTGCAAAATATCGTTAAAAAGGTAGAAGATGTAAAGACATGAAAAGTTATGAAATATTCCAAGAAAGTGGAATCCCGCCCTACGGCCAGCCCGCTCATACGGACAGCTTGTTATTACGACAACTTTATTCCGGGCCCAAAATAACAGGCTCAGTCCGTCATCAAAACATTTTTTCAGTTATTAACAACTTTGATATTTTATTTGTTGAGCTAAAGAACGTTTCTAAGAGGTGTTACAATGCATCTAACTGTTGTTGTTCAATAATATATTATTAAATCAGTTTAAAGATAATTCGCCTTCATTCTTTATTTTTTTCTTCTTTTCGCAGTCCCCATTTTAGAGGTATACGGTTTTAGCGTCTTTGTTAAAAGAGAATTTAAGCAGGTTTTATTGACTTATTGGAATAAAAGAAATTTCTAACACCACGACCACTTAACGTCATTTCAAAGGTATTTACCTAACTACTAAGTCATTTTCAAACGATAAACTGGGTCCTGAAGTTAAGCTGTTGATTCTTTCAGTCACAGCAGTTATTTATCTTGGGCTAACAGCGAACTTAGTTGAACTTGGCTAAATGTTACGTAAATATGAATAGATTCTATAAAACTATATCGGTTTTTTAAAGACTTTCTTAGAGTTCTTTAACAATGTAACCCTTATAAACGAGGTCAATTTGAAAGTAAACATTTTTCGAGCTTTCTCCTTAAGATTAAGAGGCTTTGTCAACAATTCAGTTAAAAGAACTTGCAAGTCTTTCATAAAAACGTCATTCTTCAAACAATCTTGACGAATGGGTCATTGTGTAACAACATTATTTATTTACAACAGGTCCATTATCTCAACTGGTTTGAGACTTAATTGCAACACGCTAACATGACGGGTTTTTTTCATTCACAATCATTTTCAAGTAGACTCGGCTAAATTGTATTCTTTAATATTTATTTCTTTTGAAAAAACATTAGAAATGACATGACTGATGAGTAGCTGACCTCTTTTTCTTTGCTTTCGTTTTTATTCCCCTGAATTAAAATCAGTCTAGATGGAAAAGAACTTGTGGGCGAACATGATACTCAGTCTAAATATAGAAGTAAATTTTCATTCTTATATTGGCCCGCTAGCCTATGCTTTTAAGCAATACACGTTTAGTCATTCTTCGCATTTTGAAGCTGACTTTCAAACCTAGTACAATGAAGGTGGGAAAGGTTTGGTTTTTCTTAGTTGTCGCTGTTTCAGTCGCTACAGTTGTATCCTCAAGACAAGTCGACTCAGGAACCGGTATGAGTAATTATATTTGAGTTACACACTTTTAAACAAAGTAAAACAACTAAGTAGAACTCCGGACAATTCAAGCATTTGTTACGCCACAATCAATTCCATTGGTTACTAATCTCTACGAACTAGTTTTTTTCAGTCTTGAATGTTTATTTAATTGATTTCTAATTGTAAATTTGAGTGGATTCATCCCGACCCACAGCGGCTTAGAGGGGACTTGCAGGGTAGTGTCTGTCACTGAACTAAGAGCTCCTTGACAGGAATGCGGATTTGCATAATTAATAATTTTCTGATCTTTGAATTGAACGATAACTAATCAGAAAATCTTATTAGAAACGAATAGATCTCGCCAAACTCTAACTAAAATGACAGAGGTTTCAAGCCCGATTTGCAGCCATTTCTGCGCCGGCGTCGCCGGCATTGCTGGAAGTAGAGCGAAGAGCATTGTTAAATGACATTTTATTCCACCATTTGCAATTTTAAGTTTCATTCTTTCGCTGAACTATTCAATACGTTCTACTGAAACATACGTGCTTTAATCTTGGTTTAAGAAACAGGGTTTTTTTTACTTTTTGTGAAAAAGTAACCGAATTCGTCTCACCGACGCTATATACACGAGATATGGATTTTCTGGTTTGTAGGGCACACTGGAAAGTCTACCTGCAACTGAATCACTTGGGTGGCATTTTAAATTTCTGTTTTCACTTTACCAAAGCAATTCATGAATCCGTAAAAAATTCCTCTGCAAATAAAGTTCATACTAATACTCCCGAAATAAATGGTCATCTTTTGTAGGAGGACAAGAATTGGATCAGAAATTATCTAACCATTCTGATGGCACTCCAGGTAACGAAGGGCCAACACTCGATAGACCGATTAACCGAAGAGAGTTCACTGGAAACTGGGACAATTCTCTAAGTATTTATTAACGGCTAATAGCTTTGTTGTTCCTCTCGACACGATCATTGAGTAGTAAGAATTCACATTATAACAAGTGCAAGGAAGAAGCATTTTTTTTTTTTCTACATTCTCTTTAGGAGTGTGTGTGTGTCCAAAACGTACGATCGATGACAAATACCTTTCAAAGCAGTTTTGAGCTAGTTAAATCTTTGCTCTATCCATCTGTCTTTCAGGAAACAAGGACCAATCATACACTCCGAACAGAATCAGATTGAACTTAAATACTCTTCTTCAAGAAAGATCCCAAGACATTTCCAAGAAGGTTTTGCGACCCCGGTCGTCACGGTCTTTCAGCAAAGTGTTGTTTGAAAATGTTCGATTGAGCGTTCCAATCCGCCAACATGCGTTGCAAACCAATTTTATCCAAGGAATGGCTGTAGGTTCACTTAAACCCACTCAGTATGGACGCTACATGGTACAAGATACTGCCTACCTCGCCAATGCAAACAAAGTGTACTCTGAAGCTGCTCAGAAGATGGAAGAGCAAGGCAAACCTGACTTTGCTTTCTTTTACAGAAGTCAGGCTGCGAAGTACGAAGATTTTTACAAAGAGTTCCTCAAGACCTGGGCTCTTGAAAGTGCCGAGGCGGTGCATGAGGGGCCAGCAGTCCAAGCGTACATGGGTTATCAGCAGGCTGTGGTCAAACAACATCCCAGATATCTACCAGTAGCCATGTTACCATGCACCATGCTCTGGCCGTGGATGGCTGACAGCCTCATCAAAACAGTTGACAAGAAAAACCCGTATTATGAAGACTGGTTTGTGAAGAACCTGCGTGCACCGGGAACACAAAGCTCAACGGAGAGGTTCGTTGACGAAAATGTCACCGCATTTGATGAGGGCATTGCTCTTGAGATTTTCTGCGAAGGAATGATGAACGAACTGAATTTCTTTCGAGAAGCATGCGATGAAGCCCCATATAAACTCTCTGAAATTTGCCCAAGCGCGGGATAAACTGATATCGTAACTAATTGCTGTACCAGTAAAATTAATAGCCCTGGTTATTCATCTGAAAAACGTATATTAAGCTGAAGTTGAGACAAATATCTTTAAACCATGTTTAACTCCCTGAAGTGGAAAAAGTTTTAATTCAGTAGTGCAACATCATCTTTTTATTTACTATGTGTTTGAGTGAGCAATCACTCGATGCAAACTGTCAGATCTTCATCAAGATCATGTAAAGCATTAGCTAGGCCGTATTTTGAACAAATGCCGAGAATTTTAATTCAAAAAAAAAAACTGGATCACGCAAACTATTCTCTCAAGCAAATAAACACTGAAGTGTCTATACTCTTTGCCAAGAAAAAGTTATTATTCAATTAAACAAAAGCAAGGCCGGGCAATATTCCCTGACACACAGTTATGTAATTTATATTACGTGTGGATATACGTTAACTCAAATTGATTGTCTACCTCTTACTTGTTGTTTCCCCCCCCCCCCC